TTGTTGTGTTGGTCTCCTTTACAGAGGAACTTCCTGTTATCATGTTGTTGTCCTGAATTAGGACACTGCAGAGTTACTGGACGTCCCTCGATGCCACTGATGTTGTACGACTTCAGTTCTGTCAGAGAGATTTTATTCATACATAAATCTACATAAGATTTATTGATAAAATGTGCATCAATTTATAATACATGTGCTCTTTTACTGATTAAAAAATGGAGGAAAAAATGAAATATTATGACCTCTCACCTTTGACCTCCAGCTCAACAGCAGTGACAACATCAAATCCTGAGTTTGTCTGGATTCCACAAAGATACGACCCAGAATCCTTCAGGGTCAGACTGGAAATGGTCACTGTGAATATTCCTGACTTCCTGTCATCAGAGAGTCTGAATCGTCCATCTTGTGTGTTGCTAGAGGTGATCACTGCCTGCTGTAGACATGTGGAGGGCCGGTTTCCTCTGCAGAAGAACTTCAGCTTGTTGACAGACTGAGAGTCGTACGGACAGCTGATGGTCACTGAACCTTCCTCAGTACTTTGGGTTTGATTCACCGTGTCGCAGCATCTGTCTGATAGGAAGATAAGAAAGAGTGTAAGACAGTAGAAGATATATACATCTGTACAGTTTACCAGAAGCATATGAATTAAGTAAATCAGAATGTTAATTTGATCATGATCTGCTAATAATAGTGAGATTAAAATGTTTAAAAAAACCAAACTTACAGCCACATATCATATTCAATGAATGCTTACTTGCCTACCCAGTAATACTTGTAATATGTATTGATTTTATATAAATTATATTACTGTATAAGAACAAAATTAGTATTATGCATTTCAACAAGCATATTATACAGTTTAATTAAATGTATTTTCTTTTTTATTTAAATGCTCAATTATTATATGTGTAAAAAGTCCAGATGTTTCATTTATTTCAGTTCTTTGATAAGATTAAAATTTTTTTAATGTCCGTCTGACTTCCTGAATCTTCCTGCTATGTCTCAGCCTTTTATTCTAATGGAGTTTATAGAACAGTGTTTATATCTGGAAACATTCAATATAAAATGTTGGCTTGGATGTTAAACCTTTAAGAGACAAATACTCATCTAAACATTATCAATGATGAACATAGCAGAAAACCCTCAAAGATTGTAGAGAATCTTTATAAACTTGGTTAATATTGTAAATATGAGAACCGTTATATTTATGTCCACATTCACAATATTTCAGTGTTATATTTATGATCATTTAAAATTAAAATTTTAACATAGAAGTGTGATAATTGATTAAAACCAAGTCAAATTTAACTTTATTGATTCTGTTTTCACTCAGTTTTAATTCTTTCTTGCCTCTCTGAGGCCTCAAAGTCTCTCACTGTAGTTTAACATTTCCTATCAGTATAAATTAGCTCTGACCATCTGATTGCACTAAGACAGAAAGAGGGAAGCTCAAAGTGTTGCAACTCGGAGTCGATTAATGCCGGAAACATTTCTGCCAATTCATTATTGTGGGTGTCGTCTGTAAAGTTCAATCTATTATGCTGATTGAAATGTTTAATCTTCCAGTTAAAACTATTTACCTTCTTTTACTTCCAGCTTTACTTCAGTTAAGAGATCTTTTCGTCCTTTTCTGTTCACTCCACATTTGTATTTTCCAGCATCATCCAAACGAAGATCAGAGATGGTCACAGTGAAGATTCTTGATGTTTTGTTATCATAGGTGGAATATTTGTTCTGATTATTTTGTGATCTTGTGAGAACATCCTTATTTCCACATGGGTCGTTACACATATATTTCTCATTACTTTCATAACCTTCATCATATCGACAAGAAACATTCACATTTCTTCCTTTGTATCCAAACACATGGATCAAACCTGCAGCACGGCTCACACAGCACACAGCAGCTGGAAACAGGAGAGAACAAAAATATAATTAAATACAATTAAGTTTAATTCAAAATCAATGTCCTTTGAACAAAAATATCATAAAATTCTTAGTCTGAGTGCTCAGTAAATACATAAAAACATAAGGCCATATATAAAAGACAACAGATAGCTTGTAAATGTATGTATTTAAAAACAACTCAAAAAACAAAAGTAGTATGACAGTTACGAGGCACCATCGTGTTTTTTGATTTTATTCTAAATTTTTATAATGTTAAGATGACAAAATCTACTCCTGCTTTTTAAAGCCACTGGAAAATGTTGAATTTATATCTGGATGAATATAAAAACTTACCAGACAAGATGAACAACACGACCTGGAAGCTCCACATCTTTGCATGACTGAGGACGACAAACTAAACCAGAAATGAAGTGAAGCATGAAGTATTTTAAGGAAACCACATCGGTCTGATAAGTTCAGCCCTCTGCACAAACATCAGCAATCCTCAGAAATGAGGTGTGAAATGATGATTTTTTTTTCTGTTTTTCAAATGCTAAAACTGAGCTCTGTCAAAACGAACAGGAAACTAAGAAGACATGCTTATAATTAGTAAGATAAAAATAAGTATTTAAAAAGTTGGAGGAAATGGTCATAGGAAATGTGAGAGGGCTGAGGTGTAGTGGTTAGCGCTGCATCATCGCATCAAACATATTTCCTGTTTAAATAAAAATAAAGCAGAACTTTCTGTCTATAGTTTGCTTATTTATTTTAGAACATTCGTCGATGTTCTCCATGCTTTCTTTCTGCAAAAGCTGCTTGAATCCAGTGAATAAAATGAGCATAAAGATATAAGTTTGTCACAAAATGAGGTTAAAATATAAATGTACTTTTAAAGTCAAAGTGAAAAAAAAAACAAACATCATAGAAACACAAAATTATTATCAGAACAATGTAACAGGATGAAAATACTGCAGATATAAAAATTGTTTTCCTCTACAGAAAGTCTGATCATCTTCAGGATTTAGTCTTAATTTAAAAAGAAACAAAGGCTGGTTTAATAAAAACCTCTTATTTATTATGGTGTGGTGAAAGTTAATATAAAACAAGCTACATCATTAATACATTAAAACCTTTAACATTTAGCATAAAATCTTAAAATTAGTTTGAAAGCATTTCATCACTTTTCTTTCCAACAATCAGAATGTTGTTGAGAATCAGCAGCTTCATCATTGCTCCTGGTTCTTAGGCCTTTTAATGAGTGATTATTGGATCCAGTAATCGATCGGCTTTTGAGTACAGACTCTGGACAGCACTGATTTAAACATTTAACAATTATCACGAAATCTTTAAACTAGTTTGAAATGTTTATAATAATTTCCTTTGCAG